GTCTACACAGATACTGTACATGGGTAGGGTGAGGTCTAGGGATCGAACCCTGGGTACTGCATCCGCTACTGCTAAAAGGTGAAAACCGTTTCACAAGGGTATACCAACTGAAAACATCGATGACGACTTATTCCCGGAAAGATGGTTTGCATACATTCATCATCAGGGTGCGGTATGTTTTCCGGGCAAAGACGGTAATTTATCCGTACCAATCTTAAAAAAGCTGTCTCTGTTCATATCTACCTTTTGTACTTGAACTACAGGCTTTGACACTTTGTGCACATCCTGACAATTTCTGTCTTGACTCTTGAATCCATTCCTCTGTAACACGCCTTGTTTAAACAACCAGTACTTGGCCCAGCTATTGATGCCGATCCACGAAACGCCCTGCGCGCCAAGTTTTGCCGCGCCGATGCTGCGTCATTTCACTTTTCTTTTGGCTGGCGCCTCCAGGCATTGTGGTCCGGTGGCCCGAAGCCCATCAGTCGCGGCGCGTTAACGGGAAACACCCGCGGCCGATGTATGGGCCAAGTACTGGTGGTTTAAACAACCACTACCTTTGCCCATGTCGGGCCACCGTCGAGCCCTCGATTATTAGTAGGCGAAACGAAATGGCGGCTGCCAATGAGATTTATCAACGGCAGCCGCCATTCGGCCTGGCCTCCGATTTTTTTGGAGTCGTCGGAAAACTGCCAGTTTTTCCATTTTCCCAACAGTGGGCGAAGTAGTAGTGCTTCAACTAGCCTCACCTTCCAGATACTCAATCTGTCTCAATCTGTTCTTCCCTCTCATCAGGAATTGAACCAGAAGTCCATCCACTCCCAATAATCATAGAGTAGACTGCTTCCTCTTATTCTGCTATTCTTCCTTCACACTTGATGTGTCCTCAAAATTATTTCGCAAGAGTAGTCTCTTCTGTCGTTCATCTATCTCTACCTTCAATTTTCTCAGCAGCAGCTTCGATTCTATCGTGACGGCCTTGAGGTCTACTGATTGATTGGAGTTAGACTTGTGGTTGTGCATTATGCACGGATTCGCACAACCACAATTCTAACACGGATCAATCAACAGAACTCCAAGCCATCCCTATAGCATCCAGTGGCATCTCGTGAAAGGCATCACAGCCTAATAGACAAATATGATGATAGTATGTCCGGCCACAAAAGAAAAAGCCTCAACCGCAATTCTTATTCAGCATTTTGCATCAATCAACAGAGCTCACGACGGTCCCTACAATGCCAAATATCCACCGAAATGGTAATCTCTCTCTCTCTCTCTCTCTCTCTCTCTCTCTCTCTCTCTCTCTCTCTCTCTCTCTCTCTCTCTCTCT